CTTCACATGGTCTCTGTAGCCCTCCACTATTTGCCAAGGGTCTCCCTTATCTCTCTGCCGCAGCCACACCAAACTTCTGTCAAGTCTCTGAACACCGTTTTTTCAGCTCCAAGTTCCGTACTTTCCTGGAAAGCTCTTCCCACGAAGCCTCCATCTTCACTGACTTTGCCTGCCTCACCCCTTCGGAAGTCTCAGCCTTAAATATCATTCATTTCCTTGAAGAGCTTTCCTGATGTCCCAGTTTGGGTTAAACCTCCTTGTCACACAATTACCATCTCCCCTCTGGTAATGTTAAAAATGCATGCAAATACATGTTTAAACCCTATCATCCCCGAGACTGGAAACCAGAAGAACATAACTACACACCTATAGCACCCAGCACAATGCCAGGCACAAAACAAGTGCTCGATAAATGCCCCTGCGCTGAATTGAATGTTTCCTTCCTAAAAGAACAAATGAGCTTGTGTACTTAGTTTGAAAGATAAAATTTCTTTCAGGAATCAGAAATTCCAAGGTCAAGTCAGCATGCCCACCCCATTTGGAAAACCATTCATCTGGTCTACAAGCTCACTGAGTGGGGCTAAGCTTTTCTGCAGCACACACTGAGAGTCTTTCCCCGAGCAGGTTCCAAACGGCTCATATTTCGTGGCATTCAGCTTGTCTGTCAAAACGCAACATCCCTCCCAGGGGAGCCAGCAGTCCAATTCCCCAGCTGGTTTTTATTCACACTAGAAACTTTAACTCCGTTCTAGGCCTCACAAAATGAGAGCTGTGTCCACACAAAGCCGCAACAACCAGCCAATTCACTGAAGCCAATGAAATAAGCCAATTCACTAGGGGGACACAAACTGTCAAACTGGTTACTTGGTGCCTTATAGACCAAACAATGCATGATTGAATTGGTTAGCTCTTCAATAGGTTGTCTTGTCATGTGGTAGCTACAGTGAGTGAAAGATTTTCTTTATCATTCTGTCACGTTTTCTTAAATACAAAAATAAGGGCACATTAGATAGAAGGGTAAATAGCCAATAATTTCTCTTTAAATCTGTGGTCAAACACACCAAATTCAGCAATCTGAGTATGCCAAAAAGGCATATTTGGCGGAACAAGGCTCCCCAGCCTGTTTTTTGGCTTTAAAATAAGACCCTGCCGATCCTGATCTCATCTTTGCAAACGCATGGCACTGGGAGACAGAGACCATGTGCAACAACAACTCTTTACAGACAAAGCATCTATTCATGGCCCCCACTAAAGTGCAATAGTAGATTTTCAATTTCATTCAGCTGAGTGCGGAAGGCTCCCACTATGAGGGCGGGTTGCTAAATGGTTCAGCTGGGAAAAGGACCGAGAATGAGGGTCAGCTTTTACAGTCTGCACTTTCATTAGGAGACATGAAAGCGATTCCCTCACTTGGACTCTAATTTTACAGTAAAGACCTAATCTAGCTAATTAGCTGAAGGCGCTGAGTGATTTTTCCTTTTCCATATCACACTGGTACCCAGAGCATAGCTTATTTTTTGTTAGGGCAGTTGCTAGGGGTAAGTACCAAGAAAGGAGCTCAGTAACAAACACAAAGGGTTAAAACATACACAAAAGAGGACAATGTTGGTCCCTCAACAGACCAGACCAGTTCTCTCCTTTCTCTGAATACTACATGCATACTTCCACCTTTAAGTCTTTCCTTAACTCATGCTCTTTTTTTTTTTTTTTTTTTTTTGAGACGGTCTCACTCTGTTATCCAGGCTAGAGTGCCATAGCATCATCATAGCTCACTGTAACCTCAAACTCCTGGCCTCAAGTGATCCTCCTGCCTCAGCCTCCTGAGTAGCTGGGATTACACAGGTGCATACCACTATGCCCAGCCAATATTTAAAATTTCTTATAGAGTCTTCCCTATGTTACTCAAGCTCATCTCAAACTCCTGGCCTCAAGTGATCCTCCCCTTTCAGCCTCCCAAACTGCTAGGATTATAGGCATGAGCCAATGAGCCGTGCCCGGTTTTACTCATTCTTCAAGGTCCAGTTAAATGACAATAGCTAACACTTACCTGGCATGCACTATGCCCAGTGTTCATATCTCACAACCCAATGAGGAAGGTGCTTCCTCTCTTGTAGAAGGGACATGGAGAGGTGACTCATGTGCCCAAGTCCAAGTGAGGAAGTTGGAGTTGGGATCTGACAGGCCTCCTGATTCCTGGAGTCTGAGCTCCTGCTGACCTAATTAACCTCTCCACCCTACTCTACCGTAACCACTCCCAACATGGGTTCTTCATTCTGTCCCCACACAGCCTTCCTTGGGCAGACAACCTGTTTTCAGTGGCTGTGTAGGTCTTGCTGCCTCAACTGGGTACTAAGGTCTCAGCAAGAAGCGTCTGTGCCACTTCCCCAGTGGTGTCTGGCATGCAGGAGGTACGGAGTGTATCTTCCGTTACCAGCTGACATCAGAGTGCCTGGCTGCTCCCCCACTTCAAATAAATATTGTATTGCTTCGTCATGTCAATCAAAATCAAAGGCCAAATTCCCACATGGGGGCTGGCTTGGAATTCTCTGCCCTGATGGTATCTTGCTTTTCCAGTAAAACAAGTGTCAGTCTGTGTTCTTAACAGCAATTTTAAATAGGAGGTTTGGCCGGGCGCGGTGGCTCACGCCTGTAATCCTAGCACTCTGGGAGGCTGAGGCGGGCGGATTGCTCGAGGTCAGGAGTTCGAAACCAGCCTGAGCAAGAGCGAGACCCCGTCTCTACTATAAATAGAAAGAAATTAATTGGCCAACTAATATATATATATAAAAAATTAGCCGGGCATGGTGGCGCATGCCTGTAGTCCCAGCTACTTGGGAGGCTGAGGCAGCAGGATTGCTTGAGCCCAGGAGTTTGAGGTTGCTGTGAGCTAGGCTGACGCCACGGCACTCACTCCAGCCTGGGCAACAAGCGAGACTCTGTCTCCAAAAAAAAAAAAAAAGGAGGTTTGCTCCTGCGGCCAAGGCTTTGCTTGTCTATGCACTGGGATGACAAAGCAACCACCGTCATTTCAAACCCTCATTTTCCAAAGCAGGAGAAGAAAATTTCACCTTCTACTCACTCTTTCCAAAGGATACAAAGAAACTGACTTCAGGCACACTACTGCTCTTGGGCCAGAAGTATTGTTTTTATTTGTCTTGAAGAGGTGTGGCCCTCATAACTAAAGACAGACTGGAGGTTGACCACTTCGCACATGCCGACCCAGCAATCCAGCCTAAGCAGCTCCAGCTTAGGCAGTGCTTGTCACCAGCACTGACACAGCTATCCCTGGGGCTCGCCAGGACCAGCTGCATTCTGCAAAGCCTCCACTACAGCACGTGCTCTTTAAACCCTGGCTTATTTGGGAATGTGTTTTAAAAGCATCATTTTAAGTAGTAAAAATGTAGCTAGAAGTCAGAAAAATAGTTCTAATTCAGTGTGCTGGTATACCACTTTCCTAATCCCCCAGGTGTTCAAACACCCCCACAAATTAGAAGACTGTCAGCATTTAGATATGCTGTTCCAGCAACAGTCTTCTTTGGGAGTACAGGAGGAAGAAAAGAAAGTCAAATGTCTAAAATGTTTGGATTCCAGTGTCATTAAACAGGAGAGCTTTGGGGAAATACTGGGAAGCAGGTCAGGCTGTTTTCTGGCTCCCTAAATAAGGACTGCTGTGAATGGGCCTGGCCTGCACCAACCTTTGGAGAAGAAAACACTGGAAGCAGATGAAGGACTCAAATGGAAAAGCAAGCTGAGGACAAATCAAACAGAAGAATGCCTGTGATATGTGTTAACAGTCAGCACAGATGGGGAGGGGGAGGGGAACAGAGCACACAACAGTGCTGCTCTGCCCTTTCTCACACTGCATAGGCAAGAAAACTCTGGAAGCTCCTGGCCAATGGTGATGGAGGAGCACCCTGTATGCTACGAGGCAACACAAAGTAGATGTGATTTTTTTGGGAGGGCAATGACACCTGTTCCTTCATCTCCAAGGGCCCTAAGGGCTACTGAACTGGCCTCTTGCTGTATTTTACAACAGAACTGTCAGCTCTCAAGACAGCCTGAACCCTAGAACCTTCTGATTTGGTATGTTAGCAATGTTTCTTTCCAACAGTACCTGTAATACTTTCAGATAAGTGACTTTCTTCTCTGCTGTTTAACGGGAGGGAGAGCAGCAAAACTTCACTGTCTCTATGTGTCATTCTGTACAGGATAATGCTGGTCAGGGGGTATTACATAACACAGTTCTGCTGTGGTGTCTCACCACGATGTTTTTCTCTGAAAAAACAAGGCACAGCAAGGTGGCTCAAGCCTGTAATCCTAGCACTTTAGGAGGCAGAGGTGGGAGGTTCACTTGAGGCCAGGAGTTCGAGACCAGCCTGAGTAAGAGCAAGACCCAGTCTTTACTAAAAATAGAAAAAAATTAGCCAGGTGTGGTGGCATGCACCTGTAGTCCCGGCTACTCTGGAGGCTGAAGCAGGAGGATTGCATAAGCCCAGGAGTTTGAGAATATAGTGAGCTATGATGACACCAGTGCACTCTAGCCAGGGCAACAGAGTGAGACTCTGTCTCAAAGAAAAAAAAACATAGATAGATGAAATGTATGTATGTATGTATGTTTAGCAGTAAGAGACTGAGGCATGCAATTTTGGACTCTGGTGTTTAAGCAAAGGAAGAGCAAGTGTATTGTCACTGGCTTGGCTGCTTGTGGGGACACTGTCAAGTTGTACACTATCTGCTCATTTTGGTCACTAATTAAATATTGTTTTAGACAGGGACAACTCAGGCTATCTATCTAAGGTCCTAACTGCTTGAGAGGTGCCAGCAGGAACTATCGGACACACTGCTAACTTTGTTATGCTAAGTCAAAGAGTAAACTCTCACACATAGCAATTTTTTTCTAACCACAATAAACTGTCCTTGAAAAATCATCATCATCAATCAACTCTCACTGAGACACTGCACAAATCATTCCTATGATTCATCCTAAACCAGTGCCTTACCTTAGTGTTCCTCCTTAGACTTCGAAGAATATTCCTCCTCCTCGGGTCTTCATCTGTTTCATATGGAATGACGGCGTTGTCCCCTTTATAACCCTGGGAAGCCTGATCCTCCTCTTTTTTCCGGATGGGCCCCAGCTCATCATCACTCCCCACGCTGAAGCTGGTTCGGTAACTAGCAAACCTCCCCAGCCGGGTGCATCTCGTCCTGTACAGCACTGGCTTGCTCACGATGGAAACCTTCCGGCCACGCTCCAGAGAGCTGGTGTCCATTTCACTGTCAGAACCATTCCCACTGCCATTGGACTGGGCTTTGTTGATATTCCGAATGGTGATGATTTTGCCCTGGGTGCTGTCATGGGGCACAGAATATATGTTTTCTTCTTCATTCCTTGGCTTAACCACAGCATCCATGGGTTCAGCATAGTCAGAAGGATCAAACCCATCCTGAGGCAGCCAGGGGCTAGAAGACACAGACTTCCTCTGTCCATCCCCCCTATGGCCTTGGTCTAAATAAGACAGATCCCCCTTTGTCATTTCGAAATGGACAGGAGGCTTTGGTTTGACAGGTGGAGGTACTTTGTTGTTCAGTTTACTCTCAAAACTGCTCATGATGAAAGACAGCCCATCATTCCCCTCCAGTTCCATAGAGAGCTTAGAATGGTCTTTGGATAAAGAGGGCAGTGATGTGTCTTCTCGAAACAGGCTGTAAGATGAGGGCTCGATATCTTCTTCTGAATCCTGCAGGTTGGAGTTGCAGAGCGGGGACCCTGCCCGGGGGGAGTTGAACACCTCTTCTGTGGTGCTACAGGCCTCGGCGACATTATCATACATATGAGTAGCCTCGACTATGTTCTTTTTCTCCACCACATCTTTAAAAAATGGGTGAAAGATCTCAAGTTTATGCTGGGGTTGACTACAGGGGATGCTTGTGAACCTTCCATCAATTTCTTGAGCAATCTCCTCTCCCTCGGTCAGCTGTTCCCGACTTAAGTCATTGTCCAGGACATCTATAGCGCCGTCAGTGAGTGCCACCAGCTGAATGGGGATGATATCCTGCACTTCACAAAGAAAGGCACGTAACATAGCCAAGGAAGCCTTGCGTTTGGCTGAATAAAAAACAATGTACCCATGAACCAACCGGCTTTTTCTAATGCTAAACGAGGAATGGTATGAAAGAATGGACAGTTCAATACGTTTCTTGTGTAGTCCAATTGGTAGTTCAAGTAAAACAGAGTTGTTGCTTCCACAATAGGAAGACTTACAGGTTTGGGACTGAAGGACAGGAAAGAGTATGTCATCTGCACTAAAAGGATCTCCACACATCAGACACATAACAATTCGTAGATCAACATCGGCCAAGTCTTTGATGCTAGCGGTAGAACTGACCAGGTTTAAGTTACGCTTAGAGTCTAGGAGTCCCTTCAAAACTTGACTAATTTGCTTTTCGTTAATGTTGCGTCCATAACCGATGCCAGCAGAAGCAGGGTCAAGGAAGACACACTGAAGTTTGCTAGCAATTTGCTGGCCTTGTTGTATTAAGCTATGCAGGGTCTCTCCACTGGTGTCTCCTCTCTTGTTAACCAAAATCAACGTCAGGGGGAGGTGGACTGAATGATTATCCCGCCTGCCCAGCGTGGACTCTCTACTCTTCTCTATGCTCTCCACTACGTAGGACAGTGATTCCTTTGAATTGTAAAGGCAGAGACAGCCGTGGGGCTGAAATGTTGGCGTCTGAAAAGAGTTCACGGGAAGCCTGACGTTCCCCTCGATCGGTCTCAAGGAAAGCTCATACATTTTACCATCTATCACATACTTGTCATCATTTGTACAAAGAGCTCGAATCTCATTGGCCAACTCTCGGGCAAGGCCATCTTTGCCCAATATAACCAAGTTGATTCTATCAATGTTGGGGTCAGAGAGCGAATTTTTCTGATTCCGGTCAGATGGTCGGATAAACCGAGAACTAATCAAGTGCTCAATCTTAGCATCCACGCAAGCTGGGCAGCTGGGGCATGTCTCCTTTGTTGGGTGGTACACAAAATGAATGTGCTTCAGAATAAGGGCATCACGTTCTGCCTGGAGCTTTTGTAATGCTTTAAATCGCTGTTCCTCCCCCAGAACATCCTGAATGACACCCATCTTTTCCTTGCTGGGCTTAGCATCCAGTTCTAGTTCATAAAACAATTCTGAATATTCCAAAAGCAACTCCTGAAATTCTTCCTTTGCTTTATCTATAATTTGCTTTTGGTGTTTGCCATAAATATCCATGTATACAGATTCTTCCAGCCACTGGTAGAAATCTTCATTCATAATAAAACTACGGGCCTCTTCCCAAGGCTTTCCTGGAGTTATGAAAGGAGAGGTCTCCAGGTTTTCTTTAAACGCCCTTCTCATCTCAGCCCTTTTCCGCTCATTCCTCAGCTTCTCTAAGTGGGTCTCGTACAGCTGCTCTGCAGGGACGGTATCCATTAAGTCGAAGGGAATCCGCTCATTTTCCATGTTATCGATGTGGCTGGTGGCATCCCACGGTGTCTCTTCAAGTACAACAAACCACTTCAAGAATTCTGGCTTGGTTTCTAAGAGCTTTTTGGCTTTTATGCAGCTTAGGTGGTCTATTTCATCTAGATTAGGTATAAGAGCTTCAAATGCTAACGGCAGAGCTGCCAGGTACAGCTTTCTCCTGCGCTCAATGTGCTCATGCTTGAGGCGGTGGATGTGCTGTAGAAACAGCTTCTTAGCTTTCTGAGTCCCTTCCAGGTAGACATAGTCCTGGTACTCTGGAGAGGCCTGCATCTTTCGGCTGACATTCAGCCAATTTTCATTGTGGTTCTTCACAATGCGACTCACCAGCCACTCATACTTGTCTTTTGCTGTAGCTATCTGCTGGCTCTGTTGCTTGAGAGCTTCAAAATAAGGAATGATTTTCGTCTTTCCCCGACTTTTATCAATGAGTTGCACCAAGGTGCTGAAAGCCAAGTCCACGTTTACATTGGATCTCGCTGAGGTCTCCACAACCTGGAGGTTCTTTTTGCTTAAGGCAAAAGTATGTGCATCTCTAATGTACCGCTCAACACCCTCATCACACTTAGTCAGGACCACCACTATGGGCTTTTTTGTTTTTGCAAGCTGATTGTAGAGATTGGAGACAAACTTAAGCTGGTCATCAAAGTTCCTATTCATGCCCCTGCTAACATCAATACCAAGAAGAAAACCATCGATCAGCAGCTTTCCATCCGGCATTTGTTTCTGCTCAAAGTCCTGCTCCAGCCCCAGCTGGTCAGTGCAAAAGTACATGAGTTTTTCAGCTGATGCAAGCTTGGTTGCAGCAGCTCTCTTGATATAGGGCTGCAGGGCTGTGCTTCGATGAGGTTGAAAAGTTTGATCATCGATAAATTCAGTCTGTTCCACAATGTGCATTTTACATTCCACACAATCCTCCAGGGAGCGGCCAACTTCTCCCCAGTACAGAAAGTGGTCATTATTGACGACTCGCCCACCAAAGTCACTGGTGCTGAGGACAGAGGTATGGTCCAAGTGAAACTCATCAGCACTCGGACGCACGAAGCGGTTACACAGACAAGATTTTCCAATGCCACACTGGCCCTTCTCCTTCTCAGTTCCAGACAATCCCACCACACTGATGTTGTAGGTGGGAATGCGGACATCTTGCTTTCTTGCCATCATCATCGTCGACACATCCTGCCACGATCAGCCACTTCCGAGATCAGATTAGTGTTTTCCAGTGGAATGAATAGCTTCCAACATTATCAGTGGGGGCTGGATGCACACGCAGCCAAAGTGTCAGGTCCCATAGTGTTATATACCAGTAAGAAGTCAGTTTTCGCCACTTCTCATAGACAAATAGCCAACATTTCTTCCTAAATGGGGGGGAAAAAGAAAACCCATCAGCACCATAATTTTGGAACTCAATTTTAATCACTGAACTGTAGCAAAAGCAATTATTTTATTCAACAAATATTTAATAAACATTTATCATGCCAGGCTTTATGCTGGATGATGATATGAAAGCAAGTAAGACTGACCCTCAGAGAGATACAATTTAGTACAATGAAGGAAGACATAAGTCAGCAATGTGCTAAGTGCTAAAACAACGGTCTAAGGGCACCTCAGAAAAATGGCTGATTCCATGGCTAGGGCAGGGTAGGTACAAGATAAGCCAGGAACATCTTTTTGTGCAAGAAAAAAAATGACAGGGCATCTCACAAGGACACAGGAGCCAGCCTGAAGGAGCTCCCATTGGCCAAGTCTGGGACAATTTAAGCACCAAAATAATTAAGTATGATAATGAATTATAATCCATTGGAAAAAAATAAGAAAATCAATCCATAAACTGGATCAGGCAAGAATCAACACAAGATGCTAAATCTAGGAGGTAAATTTTGATAAGAACTAAGATACTTGAATAGAATTCAGATATCTCCTGATAGACCACTCATTAGTTGCAAGGGAGAGGGGGGAAAACACACAAAGACACACACACACCCAATAATTATACAGTAGAGAAACCAGGCAACACCTTGACTGGGTAATCAGCATTATCATCACCAGGGTGAGCTCAGTGGCTCATAGCTGTAATCCCAGCACTTTGGGAGGCTGAGGTGGGAGGATCCTTAAGGCCAGGAGTTTGAGACCAGCCTGGGCAACAGAATGAGACCTATATCTACAAAAAAAATAGAAAAATTAGCCAAGTGCGGTGGCATGCACCTGTAGTCCCAGCTACTTAGGAGGCTGAGGCAAGAGGAATGCTTGAGCCCAGGAGTCTGAAGTTGTAGTGAGCTATCATGACACCACTGCACTCTAGCCTAGGCACCAGAGACTGTCTCAAAACAAATTAACATCACCAATAAGAGATATAAGGACATCGTGGACCTCCAGATGTGATACCTCTGATACATCGCTATGCAGTATTATGGCCTAAAAAGCATAATTTGAACCTCATTATGAGGAAACATCAAACAAACACAATTGAGCAACATTCTATTTTTTTTTTTTTTTTTAAGTACAGAGCAGGGCTCTGTATTTTTCAAAAAATGTCAATGTCCTAATAGAAAAAGATAGCCATGTAAATACTCCAGATTAAGGGAGGCTAAAGAGACATCATAACTAAATACAATTATCTGACCCTAGACTAAATCCTGTTCCAGAGAGAAGAAAGGCTATGCACGACATTATTAGGTCAATTAACAACACTGATCTATGAATGCAATATTAGATAAAAGTATTTTATCACAAAGTCAAACAAAAATCTGCTGTATTTCTCTATACTAACAATGAACAATCTGAAAAGGAAATTATAAAAATAATTCATTTACAATAGCAGTGAAAAAAATAAAATGCTTAGCAATTAACCAAGCAAGTAAAAGACTTGCACAATGAAAACTACCAAACAGTGCTGAAAGAAATTAAAGACAAAAATGGAAGCACATCACATGTTCACAGATTAAAGGACTTAATATTGTTAAGATGGCAATACTCAAAGCAATCTACAGATTCAATGCAATCTCTCTCTCTTTCTTTTTCTTTCTTTCTTTTCTTTGAGACACAGTCTTGCTCTGTCACCCTGCCTTAGAGTACAGTCATCCCAGCTCACTACAACCTCAAACTCCTAGGCTCAAGTGATTCTTCTGCCTCGGCTTCCCAAGTAGCTGGGACTACAGGTGAGCACCACCACACTGGGCTAATTTTTTCTATTTTTAGTATAGACAGAGTCTCAGTCTTGCTCAGGCTGGTCTCAAACTACTAACCTCAAGTGATTCTCCTGCCTCCACCTCTCAGAGTGCAGGGATTACAGGCGTGAGCTACTACAACACTAGGCCTCAATAAAATCTTTATCAAAATCCAAATGACATTTTTTGCACAAATAGAAAAACCCATCCTAAAATTTCTCTGAAATCTCAAGAGACCCCAAAGAAGCCAAAGCAATCTTAAAAAAGAATATGGGTAGAAGACACATTTCTTGATTTCAAAACTTACTACAAAGCTATAATAATCAAAACAGTGTGGTGACATAGCACATCTTATATTTTCCTGGTTAGAGCTGGAACCCATACTATTAAGTGAAGTTTCCCAAGAATGGAAAAACAAGCACCACATATACTCACCAGCAAATTGGTATTAACTGAATAGCACCTAATGGTCACATAGGTACTACAGTAATAGGGTATTGGGCAGGTGGGAGGGGGGCGGATATATACATATATAATGAGTGAGATGTGCACCATCTGGGGGATGGTCATGCTGGAGACTCAGACTTGTGGGGGGAGAGGGGGAAATGGGCATTTATTGAAACCTTAAAATCTGTACCCCCATAATATGCCAAAATAAAACAAACAAAAAAAAGTGTGGTACAAACATAAAGACCAATGGAACAGAATACAGAGCCCCAGAAATAAACCCTTGCATATATGGTCAAGTTATTTTTAACATGGGTGCTGAGGCCCTTCAATGGGGAAGGGACAGTCTTTACAACAAATAGTGCTGGAAAAATTGGATATTCACATGCACAAGAATGAAGTTGGACCCTTACCTAATATCATACACAAAAATTAACTCAAAATGGATCAAAGACATTTAAATGTAAGACCTAAAACTATAAAAAGAAGAAAACATAGGGCAACAGCTTCATGACCTTGGATTCACAATGATTTCTTTGATATGATGCAAAAGGCACAGACAACAAAAGAAAAAAATAGACAAAATAAATTTTATAAAAAATTAAAAAATTTATGCACCAAAAGACAATGCCAAAAGAGTAAAAAGGCAACAACTCTACATAGTGGCAAATACCTATATAGTCCCAGCTACTCTGGAGGCTGAGGTGGGAAGATTGTCTGAGCCCTAGAGCTGGAAGCCAGTGTAGGCAACATAGTGAGACCCTGTCTCTTTAAAAAACAAAAACAAAAACAAAAAAAAGCACCCCAAAGAATGGGAAAAAACATTTGCAAATCAGATATCTGAAAAGAGATTAATATCCAGATATAGAGAGACCTCCTAAAACTCAACAACAAAAAACCAAATAACCTGACTCAAAAATGGACAAAGGATTTGAACAGTCATTTCTTCAAAGAATATATACAAATGGCCAAGAAGAGCATAAAAAGATACTCCACATAACTAATCATTAGGGAAATGTAAATCAAAACTACCATGAGATACTACCTCAAACCCATTAGGATGGCTAATATCAAAAAACCAAAAGTATGCCCTTTGTCCTCAGCTGTAAAAAAATAAACAAAAAAAAGTTAAAAATTAAAAGAAAAAAAATTAAAAATTAAAAAAAAAATAACAAAAAACAAAAAGTAAGTGTTGGTAAAGATGTAAAGAACTTGTAACCCTACTGGTGGGAACATAAAATGGTATATCAGGTGTAGAAAACAGTATGGCAGTTTCTCAAAAAGCTAAATATAGAATTAACACAAGACCCAGCTCCTAGGTATATACCCAAAAGAAATGAAAACAGGATCTCAAAGAGCTATTTCTGTACCCATATTCGTAGCAGCATTATTTGCAATAGCTAAAACATGGAAGCAACTTGAGTGTCCATGTACCAATGAATGGATGAGCAAAAATGTGGCATACACATACAAGGCGATATTTTTCAGCCTTAAAAAAAGGAGAAAATTCTCACAACATGAATGAAACTTGAGGACATTATGCTAAGTAAAATAAGCCAGGCACGGAAAGACAAATACTATATGATTCCACTTATATGTGGTACTTAAGAGTAGTCAAACTCAAACCTAAGGTATGAAACTATTAGAACTCTAGAGGAAAAAGTTGGAAACACTCTCCTAGACATCGGCCTGGGCAAAGAGTTTATGAAGAAGTCCCCAAAGGCAATCACAGCAGCAACAAAAATAAAATAAATGGGACATGATCAAACTACAAAGCTTCTGCACAGCCAAAGAAATAGTCATGAAAGTAAACAGATAACCTACAGAATGGGAGAAAATTTTTGCATCCTATGCATCCAATAAGGGACTGATAACTAGAATATACTCAGAACTCACGAAAATCAGGAAGAAAAAATCAAATAACCCCATTAAAAAGTGGGCAAAGGACTTGAACAGAAACTTTTCTAAAGAAGACAGAAGAATGGCCAACAAACATGAAAAAATGCTCAACATCTCTAATCATCAGGGAAATGCAAATCAAAACCACAATGAGATATCATTTAACCCCAGTGAGAATGGCCTTTATCAAAAAATCTCCAAACAATAAATGCTGGTGTGGTTGCGGAGAGAGAGGAACACTCCTACACTGCTGGTGGGACTGCAAACTAGTTCAACCTCTGTGGAAAGCAATATGGAGATACCTTAAAGCCATACAAGTGAATCTACCATTTGATCCAGCAATCCCATTGCTGGGCATCTACCCAAATGACCCAATGACACTCTACAAAAAAGACACCTGCACTCGAATGTTTATAGCAGCACAATTCATAATTGCAAGGCTGTGGAAACAGCCCAAGTGCCCATCAATCCAAGAATGGATTAATAAAATGTGGTATATGTATACCATGGAGTACTATTCAGCTCTAAGAAACAATGGTGATATAGCACATCTTATATTTTCCTGGTTAGAGCTGGAACCCATACTACTAAGTGAAGTATCCCAAGAATGGAAAAACAAGCACCAGATATATTCTCCAGCAAACTGGTATTAACTGAGTAGCACCTAAGTGGACACATAGGTACTACAGTAATAGGGTATTGGGCAGGTGGGAGGGGGGCGGGTATATACATACATAATGAGTGAGATGTGCACCATCTGGGGGATGGTCATGATGGAGACTCAGACTTTTGGGGGGAGGGGGGAAATGGGCATTTATTGAAACCTTAAAATCTGTACCCCCATA